CCAGCCCCGTCAGGTGTGTCCCACGCTACCCCTCCCCCCTCGAGAGCCCCTAAGGTGCGGCCTCCTTCCCCGCAGTCCTCCTCGCAGCCTACTACAGACCGTGCAGGAGCCGGTGTTCGCGGAGGGGACCCTGCAGATGCTAGCTCTAGAGGAGTTGGAGTTCGTGCTGAGAGTGTCCTTGTGCCTGGGTCTGGTTCTGGGGTGCTGGAGTTGGAGCTGAGCCCGTGGCTGCAGGCGACTCTCGTCTTCCGAGAGCTGGTGTTGGTCGAGCTGACCCTAGGGGTGCTACGTCTGGGGGTGCGGGTGTGCCCCCTCCGGGTCCTCGTGAGCCTGGCCATGTTGGTGTTGGTGGCGCTGACTCTAGGGGTGGTGCGCCAGGTGCTTTGGACGGCGGTCCTGGGGCTGCCTCGGCCCCAGACACTACTCCTCCCCCCCACCCCTACCCGACCCAGCTCCAGGCTCATGTTCACCGTGCCCGTGAGGAACAGCTGGAGTTGGAGAGAGAGGAGCTAGAGTTGCAGCGGCTGGAGGCGCAGCAGCAGCATCAGCCACAGCTGGAGCCGCCACACTAGCAGGAGGAACAGTAGCAGCTACAGGAGGAGCAGTAGCAGCCGCCGCAGGAGCAGTAGCAGCAGCCGCCTCCTCCTCCTGTCTCCGGTCTTCGGACCCTCGGTCTCCCCTCTCGCTCTCCTTCCTCTTCCCCCTCTCCTCCTGTCTACGGTCCCACGTTTCCTCCTCTCGACTCCTCCCCAGCTGTTGTCACTCATTCTCCGCCTCCGCTGTCTCCGCCTCCGCTGTCTCCTCCTCCTTTGCACGCTTGGCCCTCCCGTTGCTCTCCTCGTGCTCGTCCCTCGTCCCCTGTTCCCCTGACTGACCTTCGCACAGGTCTGTTTCGTCGTAGTCCGCCTCGTTCATCTCCTTCTGTACTTCCTTCTCCTCCTGAGTTGGCTCTCACTACTTCCCTCTCTACTCCTGTCACTGACTACTACCGCGCGTATCGTCCTGTTCTCTCTCGCGTTCTCGCCTCTCTTGTTACCCACCCTCGTGCCTCTTTGTCCTCTGTCTCCGCTCTTACTGCCGGAGTCACTGAGTTTGCCTCTACTCGCCGCCTTGACTACGCCACCGGTCTTGTGGCTGCTCCTCCTACCAGTCCTCTGGCCGTCGGGGGTGAGTCTGCCCTTGGCTGTGAGGCCCTTGAGGACACGTAGTTTGAGCTAGAGTTCCTAGCAGCCGCTTCCCCTCATCTCTGTGCCATGCAGCTCGCCCCTGAGGCAGACCCAGACGCCCTTGACATACTGACTCCTCGCACTTATGCCGAGGCAGTGTCAGGGCCTTAGGCTTCTCAGTAGAGAGCTGTCATGGACACAGAGATGGCCTCCTACAGATCCACAGGCACCTACGTCGATGAGGTTTCCGCCCCTAGGGCGAACGTAGTCGATGGCATGTGGATCTACAGGGTGAAACGGCCACTGGGATCTCCTCCAGTCTTCAAGGCACGCTACGTGGCTAGAGGTTTCAGTAAGCGTGAGTGAGTTGGCTTCTTTCAGACCTTCGCGCCAACCCCGAAGATGACCACTCTTCGAGTGTTACTTCACGTAGCAGCACATAGAGACTACGAGTTACACTCTCTCGACTTCTCCACTGCTTTCCTTCTGGGTAGCTTACACGAGGAGGTCTGGCTGCGTCGTCCCTCTGCCTTAACTAGCACTTTCCCTCCTGGGACCCAGTGGAGGCTGAGGCGACAGGTCTACGGTCTCCGTCAGGCTCCTCATGAGTGGCACGACACCCTGCGCTCTACCCTTTCTGACATCGGCTTCCAACCGTCTTCTGCCGACCCGTCGCTGTTTGTTCGGCGTGGCTCCACACCGTTCTTTTTACTGGTCTACGTTGACGACCTGGTTTTCGCCATTGCTGACAGGGTTGCCTTGGCAGACGTGAAGTCTGAACTGCAGAAGAGACACACGTGCACTGACCTTGGTGAGTTGCGCCACTACCTTGGCCTGTAGATCACCAATGACAGAGCTGCTCGCACCATTACACTCTCACAGTCACACATGGTGCAGCAGGTCCTTCAGCAGTTCGAGCTTCAGCACTCCACAGTACAGCGCACACCTCTTGCTGTTGACCACGGACTTACTGGACCCTTTCCTAACGAGTCGTTTGAGCCTAGTGGTCCCTACGCAGTGCTGGTGGGCTGTCTTATGTACCTGATGACTTGTACTCGCCCGGACCTCGCCTTCCCTCTCAGCATCCTTGCTCGCTTTGTTGCGCTAGGGAGACTCTGACCTGTTCACTGGACAGCAGCTGTAAGAGTGGCGAAATACCTAGCGATGACATCAGGCGTGGGGGTGGTACTTGGAGGGCAGAAGTCTGTCCTACTTACTGGTCACTGTGACTCTTCTTACGCTGACGACGCTGAGACTCACAGATCTACTTAGGGGTACTGTTTCAGCCTGGGTTTTGGAGTTGTTTCGTGGAGGTCCACGCGTTCCTCCTCGGTCTCGACCTCTACCGCTGAGGGTGAGATCTACGCTGGTTCCATGGCGGCACAGGAGCTGCGTTGGTTGACCTTCTTGCTCGCCGACCTTGGTGAGCGTTTGAGCTCTGCACCGACCTTGTTCACTGACAACAAGGCGTTGATTCTCCTCTGTCAAGAGCCGCGACTGGAGAGTAGAGTGAAGCATATTAACATTAGGCGCTTTCTTTTCTCGAGAGTTGCAGAGACGTGAACAGGCTCGTTTCAAGTTTGTGGAGTCCGGGGCCTAGTATACTGCAAACATCTTCACCAAGGTACTTCCGCCTTGTGACCATCAGATGTGCTATGTGCAGTTTAGGCCTTGTTGACATAGGTTCTCGTCATGTGTAGACTTGAGTTCTCTGCTTGCTTTGCTTGTACACTTTGCTTATATCTTTGTGAACTCTTGGACTGGCCTTGTGGCCTCTTTTGTTTGTGCTCGAATTGTGTGGTGACGTTCTGATCCACCCTGAGCTTTGTTTCTTTGTGACTGGTCTTATGACCGTACACTTTTAGTTTTGCTTGACACCCCTCACTTAGACTATGGGGGTGTGTCAAACGTTGTAATCTTAGTGATGTGTGTCATAGGGGGTACAACTCTTAGGGTTAGGTTTATGTACCCCAACCAATATTGTGAATGCAACACTTTCATTCTTGACCGTTGGTTCGGTTTACTTATAGTTTTGACCCTGGCAAAATCAGTAAAAAAGAAACCGTGAACGCTTATTTGGACACCTCGTTGGTCGGAGCACATTGATCCATCAGCATACCCTCAAACCAATCTGAGGGCCTGTTGGGGGGTCTTATCTATTTCCATCCTCCATGATGTTCGCCCTAGCTGATTTGAATGAATTACAAGTCCACCAGGTCCTATATACGTGAAAATACGGTATGCACACCAGGGCTAATTTTTTGTTTCGAGCAACCCTTGTGATCAGTGTTGCACAAATTCAAAAACATGATTATCAGTGTGACACCTTGTTCAAAACCTGATCCATCAGTGTTTTTCTTGTTTTTGAAAATCCAACCATGTGGCATGAGTGTACCAGTTTAGCAAACCCTGGTGAATTGATAGTATCGTTGCACACACTTCATGCCAACATGTATTGTCGAGGCTGAAATTCCGGTTTCGACAGTTGGCAATCGGGAATCCCGGGTTATGGGAAAGGGGGGGTGGGGGAAGTGAGGGGAGGGGGGGGGGGGGGGGGGGGGGGGGGGGGGGGATATGGTACTCGCTTTAGGGTAAAACTCATTATGAAGAACAGTAACCCTGAGGCATCAGTGTGAGATTCTGCCATCAACTACAAATCATTTGAGACTGAGTTACCTTGTTTTTATAGGCGAGGTCGACTGGTTGGCTAGGGAAGTTGGTGTGCGACACTCCCCCACTTTTGCCTCAGCACCAATTGCAAAACAAATTTCAGGTACATGAGACTTCCGACAACTCTTGACATTTCATTCGACTTGTAGCTTCGGCTCCGAACCTGTTTCCATACCTAGTAGGTTTAGAACACAGCCAACGATTTAGTTCCCTTCGCATCCCTCGCTGCACCCCTTTTCGTTTTTCCAACCTCGTCAACCAATGGGAAACGGGGGTTTCCCATCAACTGCAAAACAAATTATCTACGTGGGTCCCTGGTTTTAAATGTAAACCCTGGCATATCAGGAAAAACCTAGCTCCACAAAAAATTACCCTAGGCCATCAGTGTGACTACCAAAAACCACCCTGATAATCAGGGTATCAGTGTCATTTACACTGATAAAATTAGCCCTGATGCACACAAATTTGAACCATTGAGATACAGTCTCTTACAAAAATCCTTCTACTGGTCAAAGATTAACAATAAATTATGTTAGACGAATGATTACTATGGCGAGGACCTGATGGTTCAGTTAGCAAGTACCTGTACTGTTACAGGTTGTTTGCCAGCTATGTCGTGAGTGTGGTTGGCTCTTCCAGCAACATGTCATCCCATCTCATGTCTGGGAATTGCTGACGTGTTGTTTCTCAAGGTCATCACTTCACCCATATTCTTCCAGATTACTGTTGTTCGCCTGTGTTTGCGATTTTGCAAAACAAAAACATTTGTGCTTCAATCCAGCACTACCACCCCCCAAGATTGGCTGGTTAAAATTCTGTACATGCCTCTCTTCCCGTTTGGCATTCTGTTCTGGGTCAATCTCGGCAGGGGAAATACGCGGGAACCATGATTCTCAGGAGATTAATCAGACCAATTACCATGTTCCTACCTGTCCCAGATGTTCTCCTTCACCTTCTCTCCCACATCCACATAAATAGAAAGCTCCCTATGTACACCATGTGAGAAGCTCCTTTCCCGTTCCGTCTATCTCCAGGTCCAACGAACTTTCCTACGTCTTTGGCTCAAGTTCCAACCAACCTACCTTTGAAACCTGTGGACCCTGGGTTTATTAATTGTAATAGTCTGACCGCATTTTCCTCCCCTGACTATCGCGCTCAATCACCATGGCCAATCGCGACCACCGGCGCGCTCAAGTAGGTAATAGCTTGTTCACCGTATACCTCCTCTGTGCTGGCCTCCTCGTCTCTCCTGGCCACACTTCTGCTTCACGCGACATTGCGGCTCTACAGCAGTTCGCCAGTTCTCGCGAGACTCTTTTGACGCCAGAAATTGTTACCGCTGTCGATAATCACGAAAACAGCGGGGGTCAGTCCTTAGAATCCGTCGTTCGTGAATCCGCCGCGGCTGACGCGGAAGCCGCCAAAGCTCTAGCGGAATACGAAGATGCGAAAAAGGTTCTCGAAGGAAAGAAGAAGGACGCGGATGGAATAGGCTCGGAAGCGTCTAAACTGCGCGGCCAGGCGGAAGAGTTGGCGTTCGATCACGCCGTCATAGCCACGGAAGTCGCGGAATCAGCGGAGCGGGAGCGGAAAAGCACCTCGGACCTGAAGCGCGCGGAAGAGGTGGCGGAAAAAGCTGGAGCATACGCGGCCGGAAAGCGGAAGGTAGCGAATGAGGCTTCGGCCACAGCGGGGGAAGCCGCACGGTTGGCGGAAGCGGAAGGGACGGCGGAGGCGCAGTTCGCGCTCGTGCGGGCAAACACCACGCGCGCGGAGGCGGTCCGAGCTGCGGAGGTGGCGGAAACGTTGGCAGCAGAAGCGAAGGAGTATGCAGAGGAAGTGTGGGAAGCGTTATCGCATGAAGGATCCGACATGGATATTTCTATGGTTGACCTGGTATCGGAGGAGGCTTATATCGAGGATTTAAATGCCACAGCAGCACGCCTAGAGGAGGAATATTGGAAGAGTGTGACTGCAGTGGAGGTCGCTAAAGCGAAGGTGGCAGAACTGAAGTGCCTGGCAGAGGAGAAGGTTGCGCGGGCGAAGGCGATGCGAGCAGCACTGAGGAAAGGCGGTAAGAGCAACAGCTGGGAAGGAGCGACAGTCACGCAATAGCTTAGAGAGTTTCACATTTCCGTTACTCCACAGGGCGAAGATGAGGAGCTGCTGTGGCAAGAGATCCACAGCGGCATTAGCAGGGATTGGTCCTTCAGAAGTCGAATTAGCGCTCTAGTTTTGCCAAGCTTTCAGAAGTGCGAAAAATACGAGTCCAGGCGGTTCTTTTCTGAACCGACCATTGTCAAATAATGTATGATAGTGTGGTATTATGTATTGTAGTAATATCATCTGAGCTCATGTGATTTCCTGAGAAAGTTAAATTCAGCAGTGAAAACGAATAGGGATTGAGCAGAGCTTTTGCTGCAAATATGTGGACCCAAATATGGAGTCCAAGTTCGTAAGATAGAAACGTAGATTTTTAGTAGTGTCCAGCATGAATCAATTCGATGTTTGTGACATGCGAAGTTAGTCGTACCGAAGCGATGGCTTCGTCGAACCGCTCGCTGTTGGAGGCAAGTTCATTTGGCGAGATTACTAGCCATGTTTGATTACCAGCCGCTCTGTTACACGTGGTGTTAGTCGAGGATCCGTCTTTCACATGTTACTTTGTACCTGATAGCTCAGTCAACTAGCACCTGCACTGTTACAGGTGTTCAATCAGCTGCAGATGTTGCGATGCGAGTAAGGATGGCTCTTCTTCAAGGAACATGCGTCTTCGAGGACTGGGGTGGTTTGGAACGTAATTGTTCTTCCACGTCAGCACTGCCCCTCGCGTTGTTGGTGGGGGGCGTCCACAGATATGTTCGTTCTTAGCGTTACAAATTATGCTGCTTTCGCCATTTTCCAATACCTACACTCACAATTTACGTTTCTGGCACAATGGATGTCCGAACTCGCCTGGTGTCACAGCCTTGAAACACCGTCTCCGAATGATTCTAATGATTTCTGGGGAGGCACACAAGTGCACACTTGACAATCGTGCTGAACGAGTCTCGAAACAGCCGTTTCGGTGAGTATTGACAGGGGAAATAGGCTCAGCAGTGATTGTCAATGCGCGCACCACCATAGACAGGAACGGATTTTCAGGAGATTACACAGGCAAACAGACAAGACATGTTCCTACCTGTCCTAGATGTCCCCCTTCACTCGCCTGAACGCCATCTGAGTCGCCTCGCCAATTTCTACCCACTTTCACCTCCTCACATCCTCGGATAAGCTTATATTAGTTCATGTCGTCGATCTCTTCTGACGACGACATTCTACTTCCGTAGTAGAAGCTATCCCGCTCAATCACCATGACCAATCGCAATCATCTACGCTCTCACGTAGGAAATACCTTGTTTACGGTATGCGTCTGTGTCGGTCTCTTAATTTCTCCCGACCACACTACAGGTTCACGGGACATTGCGGCTCCACAACAATTCGCCAATTCTCGCGGGATTCATGGCGCGTCTACACGAGAAATTGTTACTGTTGTCGAAAATCACGAGAATAAGTCGTTAGTATCCGCGGTTCGTGAAGCCGCCGCTGCTGACGCAGAAGCCGCTAAAGCTCTAGCGGATTACGAAGATGCGAAGAAGGTTCTCGAAGGAAAAAGGATGGACGCGGAGGGAATAAGCGCGGAAGCTTCTAAAGTGCGCAGCCAGGCGGACGAAATGGCGCTCAATCGCGCCCTCATGACCACGGACGTCGCGGAACTAGCGGAGCGGGCGCGAAAACGCTCCGCGGACCTAAAGCGCGCGTCAGAGGTCGCGGAAAAAGCTGGAGCATTAGCGGCAGGCAAGCGGAAGGTGGCGGATGAAGCTTCCGCCGCACTCGGGGAAGCAGCGCGGTTGGCGGAAGCCGCCCGCACGGCGGGGGCGCAGCTAGCGCTCGAGCGGACGAAATTTGAGCGCGCAGAAGCGGTGCGCGCAGCGGAGGAGGCGGAAACGGTGGCGGAAGAAGCCGCGGAGAACGCGGAGGATGCGTGGGAAGCGTTTTCGCAGGAAGAATTCGATGTGGAAGTTTCCGTGGTGGACATTGAATCTGAGGAGACTTATCTCGAGGATTTAAAAACCGCAGCAGCACGCCTAGAGGAGGAATATCGGAAGAGTGTGACAGCAGTGGAGGTCGCTAAAGCGAAGGTGGAGGAACTGAAGGCTTTGGCAGAGGAGAAGGTTGCGCGGGCGAAGGCGATGCGAGCTGCTTTGAGAAAAGGCGGGAAGAGCAATGGCCGAGATGCAACGACAGCCACGCAATAGTAACGGTTATGACGATGGGAAGGGGATGAAGGCTTTACTAACGTTTGTGACACCTGCTCTCAGGAATGTACCCTGAGATTCCCACATTCTTGTTTCAAACGACTGGGTGATAGAGAGGAGATAGATGCGGAAAAACACTAAAAAGTGCGGAAAAAACTCAGCTCGGGCGGTTCTGTGTCAAAACCGAACCATGTCAAATCGTGTGTAATGTTGTACATATGTGGGATAGTGTGTATTGTAGCACAGTTACGACTGCCGATGTATGATGCATTTCATAGTGTATTCTGCATAAAAAAAGTGTGTATTGTAGCCTTATATCATCTGAGCTTATGTGACTTCTCTGATCAAGTCAAGTATTAGAAAAGGCATCATAAGGGCATGAAAGTCTTAGTACTCACAACTTGAATGCAAACAGGAATTACACATGCAGGAGAGAATGTTACCGTCTCCCCCCGGATATAAGCGCCACCCTAGGATAAGCGCCTGGCGCTTCTAATTGGCATATGGCGCTTATATCCCCTCCTCGATTATAAGCGCACCCCTTGAAAAAACTTGTTTTATTATAAGCGCACGTAAACTTTAAAATTTGAAATGTGTTCAAAAAGCTGTAACGATTTTTACTTTAGCAGGCGGATATGTCGCAGATTCGGTTCCCTTCACATTCGGACCCTGCACTGGATGCGGGTCCAGTCAGCAGGACCTGTCAGGAGCTGGATGTGAGTCAGATTGGGTGTATCTCCCAGCGCGCGCGAGAATTTCACAGACGATCCCATGTAACTTCGACTCGATTGAAAAGGCAAGCACGAGACCTACAGTTTGGTGTTAAAAGATATAAAAAAAATATATATGTCATTTTATAAACGCCGACGCTTATAAATTTACTCGATTATAAGCCCACCCCCATGAAAAAACCTGTTTTATTATTGCCCCCCATGGGGGTATATCCGGGGGGAGACGGTAGTTGACAGGCACTAAAATCCACTGGAGTGAGCGGAATTACAATGTTAGACAAACATCACCAAGAGATCAGTCTAAGGGATAAGCACATGGAAACATGCATCCCAGTGAGCAGCAGCACTTTCTCTCACATGTCATGTCAACACATCACAAGATTTGATCCTCGCATCGCAAGCTGACCAATCGCCTTTCTGTAGTCACCACACCGTATCATTCCTTGAGCATCGGAGACACATCAGCAAATGTAAAATCTTCAGAGCCCACCAAGCATCGGCATTTCATCAATCACCTTTCACCAACCAATCTTGGACATCACTTGAACATCACTTGAGCATCGCCGACACGTCAGCAGATTTGAATCTCGCAAGCCCACCAGAGCCCTTGGATCGGGCACCACCACCAGCAGCGGACGACCGAGATGCGTTTCTCGGCAACCCCTCCCGCTCCCTATCCCTATCCCTGTCCCTCTCCCTGTCCCACTCCCTCTCCCTCTCCCTCTCCCAATCTTTGTTCCTCTCCCTATCTCGCTCTCCTCCATCCCTGTCCCTCTCCCTATAATCACGCTCACCATACCTGTCCCTGTCCCTGCCCTTGTCTCTATCCCTATCCCTGTCACTCTCTCTATCCGAATCATCATCCCATCCCCTCCCTCCTCTTCTCCCACCACTGCTCGGGCCACTCACCCTCCCCCCACTCCTCCCTCCACTCCTATCCCTATCCGTCCGACCCATCTCCCTCACTCCTCCGTCTCCCTCCTCCCCGTTCTCATCGCCCTTCCAAGGCGCCACCATTTTAGGCGCCTTAAGGGGACTCAGTCCGCCGCCCGCCGACACAGAAAATACAACTCCGCCCGTCCGCGCCAGGTCATCAAAATCCCGACTCGGCCGCCTCCGAGAAGCAGACGAGCCGCCAGAAGCAGCCGATTTCCGCCCGCCGCTGCTCGTGCTCTCCGCCCCGTCCCGCCCGGCATCCTTCCCCCCGTCGCCGCCCAAATCCTCCAACAGCTTCCCCACATCTGCAGATTTCCGCCGGACCAGGCCATTAGTAGCCGAAACACGCCGGCCGCCGCCGCCCGCTCGGCTGCTCACACTGGCTGTGGGGGACGGCGGAGCTCCTATTCCTCCCCGATTAGACGGACGGGAGCGAGAAGATTCATCCAATAGAGGAGAAACAGGCCTTGCTCCCCCACCACCTCTTGCCGACCCATCTCTCCCCTCTCTCCCCTCCCTCCCCTCCCTCCCGTCTCTCCCATCTCGCCCCTCGCGGCCGTCCCAGACCGGAACAAGAGCAGAAACGTTGGTCGACTTGTGCCGAAACAAGCTGTTCCCCTCCAGCCGCTCCTTGGCACTCTTAGCCTTATCCGATACCCGAGACATGCCCCTCGCCCCCGCTGCTCCCCCCTTTGCTCCCGCACCACCATCCTCACCAGCACCCTCCTTCTCGTCATGTGATTCGTCGCTGGCGGCACCGGGAGCAGCAGCAGAGGAAGCGGGAGGAGGTGAGGGAGATCGCTCCAAGTCCCTTCCCTTGGCGCTGCTTCCGCTGCGGCTCTCCCTGCTCTCCCTCCCGACTCGCTCCCGCTCCTTCTCCCCCGCCTCTCCTCCTCCTTTCTCCCCACCATCAACCTCCGGGTCGAAAGACACACTAGCAGACGAAAGCCCGCGCCGCAACGTTCGCTTTGGCCGAACCGGCTCCTCCTCCTCTCCTTTCTTCCATGTGTCCTCCCCGTCCTTCTCTTTCCCATCCCTCTCCCTCTCCCTCTCCCTATCCCTATCCCTGTCTCTATCCCCCCTGTCTCTGTCCCTATCTCTGTCCCTGTCCCTGTCCCTGTCCCTGTCTCTGTCCCCCCTCCCCCTATCCTTCTCCCCTCGAACGCTTTCAGGAGAAGGGGATCGGCGCACAGATGATCGCCTACCATCCCTATCCCTATCTCTATCCCTGTCCCTCTCCCTGTCCCAATCCCTGTCTCTATCCCGGTCCCTATCCCTGTCCCTATCCCAGTCTCTGTCACGATCCCTGTCCCTATCTCCCCTCCCTCCCCTGTCTCTGTCTCTCTCCCTGTCCCTGTCCCGAAACCTGTCCCTATCTCTATCTCTGTCCCTGTCCCTATCCCTATCCCGGTCTTTATCTCTCCCCCCCGCGGGAGGCGACGGTGACCGTTGGATTCCCCGCGATCTCGATCTGGCCGTCGGACTCTTGAGGAAGTCAGGCCTATCATCATCCTTCCCAACCGACACCAGCTTGCCGATATCTGCCGAACGATGCCGTACCAGCCCGCCGCCCTCTTTCTTCGCCCCTGTAGTGCTCCCGAGTTTGTCCCTCTCCCTTCGAAGCCTCTCTCTATCTCTATCCTTGTCCCTCACACCATCCCGATCCCGACCCCTGTCCCGGTCTCTGTCTCTGTCCCTGTCCCTGTCTTTATCCCAGTCAAGATCCCTGTCTTTGTACCTATCCCTATCTCTATCCCTGTCCCGGTCTCTATCCCTATATCTATCCCTATCCCTGTCCCTGTCCCTGTCCCTATCGCTGTCCCTATACCTGTCATAATCCCTATCTCTATCCCTATCCCTGTCCCTCTCTCGATCCCTGTCCCTGTCGCCCCTGCCTCCCCTGTCCCGATCCCTATCCCGATCCCTATCCCTGTCTCTGTCCCTGTCCCTGTCCCTGTCCCTATCTCTGTCCCTATCCCTGTCTCTATCCTTGTCCCTGTCTCTCTCCCTTTCCCTCGGATCCTTTTCTTTCTCCCGCTCCCCTCTTCGATTCGTGCTGCTGCTGCCCGGCCTCTCCTTCCCCTTCTCCAGCGACGCAAAAATCTCCTCCATAGATTTTCCGGGCTGCCCGGGCTTCCCTCCCTTGGTCAAAATCGCCCCGACATTTTCCGACCGGTGCCGTAAAAGTTTCGACCCAGCGTCAGCAGCAGACACAGAAGCAGACGACGGAAGCTTGACTTCTTTTCTGATCCGCCGCCCGTCGTCATCCCCCTCATGATCCGATGCGTCTCTTGTGCTCCGGGAGGGCGGCAGCTTCGGCCGGCCTGCCGCCCCTCCCCCCCCCGTGCTGCCGCCCCTAGGTAACCCCGGTCGATCCTCCCTCCCTCCTCCTCCACCGCCCGTTGCTTCGAGCTTAGCTAAAAGTTTTGCCAATCGTTCCTCCCCTCCCGCACCTCCCCCCCCTCCCTCCCCCCCATCTTTCCTCAGCACCTCCCGGGCAGCCGCGAGAAACGCCTGCAGGGCAGCTTCGGAAGTTTCGTCGTCTGCCCCGACCAATCCGGAGCCGTGCCGGGCAGACGCCGACCGTCTGTCTTTCCCAGCAGCACCGTCAGCATCGGATTCAGCTCCTGATAACGACCCACTACGACTCATGCCCACGCTTCGCGATCGAGGCACTATAGGAGGGGGGAGTCCTGCTCCCCCTGCTGCTCCTGCCACCCCCCCGTCCCCCACCTTTTTCTTCAGAGCTTCTAGAAGCATTAGCAGATCGCTATGGGCTCCCTCCCCGCCTCCTCCTCCTCCTCCTCCCCCGCCGCCCCCGCCGCCGCTGCCACTGCCAACTTTCTTAAGGGAGAGAATCGCTTTGGAAAGCAAGGACGAGTCTCCCCCTGCTAGAACCCCCGCCAGTCCCCCCACCCCGCCCCCTCCTGCGTGATGATGGTGGTGCGCCCCCCCTCCGCCTCCCCCTCCCCCTGCGCCCGCCCCGCTGCTGGAGCTCGGGCGCGCGCCCCCCCCTGTGCTGCTGCTGACGCTGCTGTCGCGCCTGAACGCGCCCATGACGTCAGCAGTGGCGGGCTTGGGGGGGATTCCGGAGAGGGAGGCAGAGGAGGGGAAGCGGGTTGCGCCCGCGTGCTGCTTCAACCAACGGTGGGCTGCACAGGGGGGAGAGAGGGGGGAAGGGGGGGTAGAGGAGGGGAAGAGGGGAGCGGTAGAGGGGATGGGGAGGGGAGGGGGGGTAGAGGAGGGGAAGAGGAGAGGAGGGGAATACAGGATTTTTATCTTCAGTTGACTCAAAGTTGGATCCCAGAGAGGAGGGAGGAGGAGGGGAAACGAGCTGCCCCCGCGTGCTGCTTCCACCAGCGGTGGGCTGGACAAGGGAAGGGGACGGGGAAGGAGAAGGAGAGGGGGAGAGGGGGGAGAGGGGGGAGGGAAGGGAGGGGGAGGGAAGGGAGAAAGAGGAGAAGGGGGGGGGGGGAAAGGAAAGAGTGTATTCTTTAGTGGACCTAAAGATGAAATTGAGAGAGGGAGGTGGAGGTAAGAAGGCGAGTTGCGCCTGCAAGCTGCTTCAGACAATGGTGGGTTGGACAGGGGGGAAGGGCACAATGACATGGGGAGGACAGGTAGAGAGGGGGAAGAGAATTTCTTGAGTCAACGCCCTCCCACACGCCCCCCTTCCCACACACTCTCCCAAACACCCTCTCTTCCACACACTCTCCCTCCCACACGCCCTCCCTCCCACACACACACCCTCCCTCCCTCACACCCTCCCACACGCCCTGCATCCACTTCAGGTAGTAATTCCGCATCTCCTACAACCCATCCTCCCACCACCACCCTCCACTCACCCAATGCCTTGTCTGGTGTGATCCGCTTGGACGGATCCCGGGTAAGGAGCTTAATCACAAGGTACTTGGCGTCCTGCGACACGAACTCCCACACGCCCTCCCAAAGGCCTGTGAACACGCCCTCCCAAACTCCTGTGAACACGCCCTCCCAAACGCCTGTGAACACGCCCTCCAAAACGCCTGTGAACACGCCCTCCCAAACGCCTGTGAACACGCCCTCCCGAAGGCCTGTGAACACGCCCTCCCCAACGCCTGTGAACACGTCAATCTTGCCCGTCCCCTACCCTTTCACCCACTCACCCAGAGCCTTTTCAGGAGTGATACGCTTCGAACGGTCCCTGGTCAACAGCTTCATCACCAAATCCTTTGCATCCTGCAACACGCCCTCCCAAACGCCCGTGAACACGTTGATCTAGCCCGTCTTGATGGCCGCGAAGATGCCCTCCTCCTCCTTCTCCGCCCAGAAAGGCAATGATTTCCCTCCCATTCCCTCCCACCCATACACCTATCCAGCCAGCCAGCGCCGAGTCCCCTCCCCACCCCTTCCCCCACTCACCCAATGCCTTCTCAGGTGTGATCCGCTTGGAGGGATCCCTGGTCAGCAGCTTAATCACGAGGTCTTTGGCATCCTGCGACACGCCCTCCCACACGCCCGTGAACACGTCGATCTTGCCCGTCTTGATGGCCGCGAAGATGCCCTCCTCCTTCTCCGCCCAGAACGGAGGCAGGCCGCACAGCAGGATGTAGAGGATGACCCCCACGCTCCACATGTCCGCCTCCAGCCCGTAGCAGTTGTTCAGCACCTCAGGCGCTATGTAATACGCGCTGCCCGCCATTGTGGTTAACTTGGCACCTGTTAAGATGGGTTACGGGGAGTGGAGAGTGGTTAAGGAGGGTAGGAAGTGGTGGAACGTGGTGGAAAGGGGTGAGAAGGAGGTGAAGACGGCAGGCCGCACAGCAGGATGACCCCCACGCTCCACATGTCCGCCTCCAGCCCGTAGCAGTTGTTCAGCACCTCTGGCGCTATGTAGTACGCGCTGCCCGCCATTGTCGTCAGCTTCGCGCCTGTCACCAGGGGTGGAGAGCGGTGAAGGAGGGTGAGAAGTGGTGGGAAATGGTGGAAATTGGTAAAAATCGGTGGAATGCTGTGGAAAGCGTAGGGAATCGGTGGGAAGGGGCCAATTCGAGACTGGCGACGTGTGCTCGATACACTCAACCGTCAGAATGAGAGTTTGAGAGTGACGACGCTGACTCACGTCCGCGACGTTTGCCAGACGATCGGCCTTAGTAATGTTTCGCGAAACTCCACTCGCCTGGTTTGACGAAAACCGCGAGGCCGTAGTCGACGACTTTGACTCGCGTGTGCGACGATTGGCTGACGAGCAGAATGTTTTCGGGCTTGAGATCGCGATGCATGAGTCCGTGCGACTGGCAGTGCGCGACGACCGACACGAGCGTGCGACAAACCTCCGCAGCCTCGTTCTCCGGGTAATGCTTTCGCTTGCTAATTCGTTCGAAGAGTTCGCCGCCTTCGCACAGCTCCATTATCAGGTGCACACGCTGAGACGACAACGAGACACAGAAACGAGAAAGCGGAAAAAACATAAAATAGAGAGAGAGGTATGAAGCGGCGAAAAGAAGGGAAACCTAATTTGTTGTGAGCGTTCTTAAAAGCCTGAGTCGAGAAAACTAAGGGGGAAACAAACGCAACAAACAGGCACCGCCCTCTTGTTAACCTTTCTGCCAATCTTCACTCAAACGATAAGTATCGGAAACCCCCCTTTTGGAGTTGAAACGTTGCAGGGAGCTTGATAACCGCTGGACGGTCTTTAAGAAAGTTCCTAAACGTACTCGCTCGTAGACCTAATAATCGCTCGCGTTCGCGTACATTACTGTCTTTCGCGTACGTCGTGCGAAGGTCGATCACGGCAGGATGGTCTTTAAGCAGCTCTTCAAATGTACTCGTTTGACGCAAACGCATCAATCGCTCGCGTGTCTAATGTCGTACCTTTTGGTCTTCGTACGTGGCCCGCAGCTCGATCACGGCTTGCGTACCAAGCGGCTCGCCCTCCTAGTAAACGCTCGCATGCCTACAATTCGCGGCTCGCGTACCTTTTGGTCTTCGTAAGTCGCGCGGAGCTCGATCACGGCAGGATGGCCTTTAAGCAGCTCCATCACCTTCACTTCCCTCTGCACGTCCTCCACCTCGCGCGTCCCCGCCAGCTTCGCCTTATTGATACTCTTACACGCCAGCGACAACCCCGTCGCTTTTTCCGTGCACAGCCGGATCACGCCGTATTGCCCGCGACCTAACTCCTTCCCCATGACGTAGAAGTCTTGCACGTTCTCGTACGTCTTTTTAAGGATGTTCACAGTGTGTGGCGCTTCTTTCGCCGCGGCGGAACCCGGCCGGCGAGGGACGTCCTTAACTCCCGTCCGGCTGGCGTCTCCGGACGCGGCGGACGGTTTGGCTGGGGAGGAGTCGCGAGAGGAACTACCGGGGCCTGTCGTGGCGAGGCTTGGGGCTGATACCGAATCGGTATCTGACACGTCATCATCGACCTTTTTCCCCGTCGGAGGCCTTTTTCTTCCGAGTGAGAGAAGGCCCATGGTCGCAGTCGCATTAGGAAGTCAAATTAGGAGGTTTTGATGACTAGGCTACTCGTTGATATGTTAGCATTACGAGATAACGTCGTCTAATGGGGACAGAAGGGTAATGGAGGACTTCAGCCCCAACGAAAGCCGCGTCGCTCTAGTAAATCACCCGATGACCTAAGAGTCTTATCACAACACCTCTGGCTGTGCGATTGCAGTCTACTTCAGTACAAGAAATCACAGCAATGGCGGATCGTCAGTGACAGCAAAAGCAGCAATGGCAGCTCTGTCGTCATTGCCACGGCACTACGATCATGCACTCGTATCGTGCTGCTGAACTAACTGCGAACTGAGCTAGACTAGCGCTCTGCTTACTCAGAGCAACTGCCTAACGTACTTTCACAAAATGGCTTGAAGGGACCAAACCAAACCAAAGAAGGCTCTTGTTTTGGTTCTTGTGCATTGTTGAGCACTCATCCCCTCAGGTTCGCGTAACTTGAGAGTTCTGTTCACAGGGCTAAACGTCCGATGCCCTAACTTTTGGTAATAACCAGAACCTCATAACCGAGATTCGTACTTACATATGTGGTCTTCGTCTAAAGAAAACACTTTGCGCAAAAACAAGGAAGTTTAGCTACCAGTTTTCTGTACGGAAAACTCGGAACAAGGTGGCGGCCATGTTACTGAAGTGTATTCTGGATGAGCAGTTTGTGAGCTTTTCAATGTTGCCGCGATCGGGTAACTTGGTGGCCTGAACCCCAGGAAAGCGCAAGGCGACAGCCACCAGCTGGCAGGCCGTTGAATAATGGCCCAGCCTGTCTTTCTTGGGTCAACTCTGGCAGGCCTGGAAACTCCAACCAATAAAAGAAGCTAGTGCTGGTTTGGCCATACCACGGCGCGAGTTATGGAGGGGCCAGGGAAAATTGAGTGTCCGGCGTGGTTCATCCAAGCCAACACCAGCTGGTTCGGGCCCTCAAATCATCCAACAGCTTCTGGCTCTGACAAGGGTCTTGTCGCTTGAGTTGAGGGTTTGGTTTGGTAACTGATGTTCAAACCACCGTGGTCTGGCCACACACAACACAACCAATTTCACCCCACACATCACAAGCGCCAGCGAAGAGGTTACATACATCCTACGACACAACCCGCTTCGTCAAACACTAGCGAGATTCGCTCACAAACTTCGAAAAGGAAGTATGATGTAGTGGCCAAAGCTTAGCAGTAAAGCAGCCAAACAGGGGAACTACAAACTTTGATACTGTATTTCCTAAGCCCTGCTAACTTGCACTCTACTTGAACGAGTAGTGCTATGTCGGAGGAGAATGCCCACATCCAGTTTTGCACATTGCGTCCTTGAGATGCACAAGTCTCTCCATTTTGGAGGGTCGACTGCGCGGCTGGCTGGCATCGCTTGTCCCTCGCATCACATGGCCCAGGTCACGCCACGCCGACGCCGTCAAGGGAATCGAATCGAAGCCTTCGCCTCCGAGCCGGAGCCAAGGAGAAGGGAATCTCTCACAGGCTCAGCATCTCTACTTGTACACAAGATGCCCAACCCCTGCGCGCGAATTCGCCCTGCACGCGACGGAAACTCTGCATACGTGTATTTTGCGCCAGGCAGTTGCACCCCATGTACAAGCACCTCAACCAATACGAACCACATAAACCGAAGTTTGGCCGAAGAGACTCAAGTCAAATGGTCAACGGTGAGTTACGAAATTTTTTATAAGCCCTTTTTTATAAGTGCGAATTGACGAAAGCCCTGCGAAATGCAAGAATCGCTTAAGAGCACACTTCACAAGGCAACCTTGGGTGATTCAAACGGGCATCGTGTGTACACTAGAGTCTAGACGGATGTGATGATGGTCGCTTGAAGAAGGATCGCCAGCGTGGCGGCCCTTCGCGTTTGCTCTGGCGTGGCGTCCCTTCGTTTCAGCTCCCGTCGCGTAGCGCCGCCCTCGGGGTGACGCTTCGCAACTAGAGCTGCCGCGCGCACCTGCGGTATGCACTACAGTACTGTACAGCTTATCAGCTTACAGTGCCTGTTTATCTGCTGCCTCTAAACTAAAGTTAATACTCCTCAACTACACTACCAGTTGACGCAAAATTGTCTACGTTGGAGAGGGAATAGCGTGATTCAGGTAGAGTACTAGTACGCGATTCTTATCCACGTGGAACGGTGTACCACCGCGGCGCTCCTTCCCCGGTCACAAGTTCGTGAGCGTCACCGAACGCCTCGCTAATCCAGTCTGGCAACGAACGGCCCCAAACTGCCGAAGCTGGTCTGTGATGTTTCTTGCACTCACACCTCCCATCACATATCCACAACCCTCTCAGGCTGGAAAGACGTAGCAGTGGTGATATGATATTCCTTGCATCCCGAGCAGCAAACTTTCATGTCAAATCGTTCGTTCGCCCTTCCTCTATCACTATCATGGAGGCCTTTCTCGTTCGCCGCACGACACCTCTCATCCTCGTCCTGCTCTGTAGTATGCCCTTAGACTTCTTTTGCTCGCACCCGTGGAAACGACTCATCGATTGATGAGTTGTATTTAGTGCCCTGATACGTGCCTTGATAAGTGCCCTTTGTCAGAATGTTATTGTTCTCTAGCCTGCAGTGGGGTACTCTATAGCGACTACAACCCCTTAGGGTTCCCTATATGTATCCTGCTGCTTTCTAGTGAACCCCCTCTTTTGCCTAAACTTTCTTGCCTAGCTAGGGTTCTCCTAGCTATGGCGCCTCATCCTCTCTCTAATCTCAACATGCTATCAGAGCGGTTCCGCTCTTGGCCTGTGGGCCCCACTACTACTTCCGCTGCGCTACTGCTGTCACGCGCCCCTGGCAAGTGGCCCTTCCTTCCTGCCGTGCGCCCCGGGCGCGCGGCGTTTTTCATCCCGCCGAGCGCCCGGGGCGTGTGGCCGTTTTCTGCCCGCCCCGAGGCGCGCGGCGGGTTCCTACCCCGTCGACGGTCGCGTCGCCCCCGGGAGCCCGTCGCGCCGCCCTGGGGAGCCGGCCCCGATTTCCCGTCGCGCCGCCCTGGGGAGCCGCGCGCGACCGCCGCCCCTTCTTCGCGGCGCCGTGGGGAGCACGCGCGGCCCCCGCCCTGCTCGTCGCGGCGCCCTGGGGTACCGCGCGCGCCCGTCGCCCGTCCGTCGTGGCGCCCCTGCGGCCCCACCGCCCCCCCCCCCCCCCTTTTTCCCGTCGGCCCCCGAGGGTCGCCTCGGCAGGCGACGGGAGGGGTGATCTGGGGGAGGGGGCGAGCGCCGCCCCTTCTGACGCCCCCCCCCCCCCGTAACCTCCCTACCCGCCATCCCGCCCTGCCCTGTTTTAGGGTTTGGGGGTGGCGAGTCGGGGGTGGCGGGTGTGTGGTCTCCCCTGCTCCTCCTCCTCCTCTGTCTCCCACTGCTGCAGCTGCCGCTGAGGGGGGTGGGTGTGTGGGAGCCGACGGAGTCGTGCTAGGGGGTGAAGGGGGAGTGGAGCTAGGGTGAAGCAGTGGGTATGTGGGGGGTGTGTGGGACTGTTTGCGGGAGGTCGAGCGGAGGCTGCCGTCTTGTCGTCCGCAGCACCTGTAGTCCGGGGCGCTGTCCCGGTAGCCCAGAGAGCTCGTCGCTGCGCCAGTCGCCTGTGGGTCCGTAGCTCCTGCCGCTCGTCTTAGCCGCGGAGCCAGTTACTCCTGTAGTCCGGGGCGCTGTCCCGGTAGCCACTGTGCTCGCCACTCCTGGTGCCCGTGTGTCTGCAGCTTCAGCCGCCGCCTCCTATCTCCTCTCCTCTCACTGTCCCTCCTCCTCCTCACTTGCCCGCTGTGTTAGCCTCTAGCTTTGCTTATATTTCTGAACTACTTCTATGCTTGCTTGCTGTGCTGTTTACACCCCACTTTGGCTAGGGGGGTGTGTCAGAATGTTATTGTTCTCTAGCCTGCAGTGGGGTACTCTATAGCGAGTACAACCCCTTAGGGTTCCCTATATGTATCCTGCTGCTTTCTAGTGAACCCCCTCTTTTGCCTAAACTTTCTTGCCTAGCTAGGGTTCTCCTAGCTATGGCGCCTCATCCTCTCTCTAATCTAAACACCCTTTTGCTGCCTTTTGCCCCTACCCGTGGTAATGAAACGCGACTCATTGATTGCATGCTTCTCTCGTACTCCGTCGCGATTGCACTGACTGTACCGCGTCAGGATTCAACCAGACGGCTTTGACATGATTTTTGGCCTCTAGACATGGTTTCGTCGTGTCCAGTCGCCCCTCGTCATGATGATCATGCTCCCCAGCATCGCACGAAGAACGAAGGTTGCTGGCAGGTTGCGGGTAGTCATTGTCAAATTATAATATTCTGTAGACTATAGTGGGGTAGCCCATATGGGGTACACATTTCTAGGGTTGCATACTTGTATCACTTTCATTCCATAGTTCATTCATTCTCGTTCTACTTTTCTCAGTCATGTAGCTATCGAGAGGGAAAAGGGCGAGATTCAATCTGCCAGCAATGCCGGTTGGCGATTGGTGACAACCAATATCGGCAGGTTGGTTTCAATTGGTTTCCGCGGCACACCTTTCCAGCAATGTTTCGCTATGTGCCGAGTGTTCAAATTTGGTTGGACGAAGGGACTTCCACATTTCGTGAAGTAGGTGTTACATGCTTCGCTTGGTTCTTCGACTTCCACATTTTGTGATCGCAACTCATCGTTTTCCTGTGGGAGAATCAAATTGTGTGTAGAGGGCACCTGTGATTGGTGCAATCTGCATTATTACCCTCGATTTGAACTTCGGTAACTGCATGTACTGTTATAAAATTTGTTACTGCACGTTCAACAACAGCTACTAGATTGTAACCAGACATTAGGCAATGTTACCTTGATTGAAATTATTCCTATTGTACTGCAAGATATTCAAGAAAACAGTAAAATTATCTTAATTATTTTTTTTATATATATTTGTGCCCAGCGTATTACGTTATTCAATTCTAAATGATTATGCTAAGTAATACATAATTAAAGCGACTACAATTAGAAATAAAAGGC